CGCGGCCCAGTCGCCAGCCGGCTGCTGTGCTGGCTTCGAAGCTGAGCCGCGCCAAGCGGTTGGGCTGCCCGGGACGGAGCCATGAAGCTGTACAGCCTCAGCGTCCTGTACAAAAGCGAGCCTAAGGCAGTGCTGCTCCAAGCCGCGTACGATGTGTCCTCCTTCAGCTTCTTCCAGAGGTCCAGGTGAGCGGGCTGTGGCCGGGGTCGCGGAGGAAGGGTCGAGTCTGGGGCCGGAGTCTGAACCTGGGGTCGGGTCGTGTCTCCTCGATTCTCAGACCGGACCCGTGGGAATCATCCAGCATCCCTTCATAAAAGACTTATGCCGTCCTAGAATATTGTCCTCCTATCAGAGTGTTTCAAATTTCTATCCTGTAAAGATTAAAAGGGAGTTTTGAGGTAGTGCAGACTCCCAGGGTTTACGCCCATATGTCCTGAGCTAGCTGGTAGGGTGCGTCCCAGGAATGTACGTTTTAAGCCAACACCTCGCATCCATCTGTTGAATCCGACCCCGGGTGCTGTGTGTTGAGATCCATCTTTGTTTTTCCTCATGGATCTTCCCAGTATGAGAGTCTTCTTCAGTATGAGAGAGCTTGGTGGGGTTTTTTGTTTGTTTGTTTTTGTTTTTGTTTGTTTTTTAATGGGTGAAGTCACTGAGGTTCCGTGAGGTTATACCACAAGGAGCTAAGATTGAAACCCAGACTGTATGCTTTTTAGTGGCTGGCACTGGTGACACAAAAGGATTCTTAACACCGAAGTCCTGGAACGATTCAGATCTGTAAAGCTTAAGGACTTTTAAATGTTTCAGACACTGAATTACAGGAAGCTGTGTGTTGCACCTACCCCATGGCCCAAAAGGGAAAGGATCCCTTAAGGTATCCGTGGTCTTCTTGTCTCAAAGTTTGGTGGAATCTGTTTTCGGTTTTCATTGCTTCAGGGCTTCTGTTAGTCCTTCATTAGAATACTTTGCTACCTGGATCTAAAATAATTTGTGTTACTTTGTTGAAACTTGGTTCCTTTTTTTCTTTCTTTCATTGTGGTAAAATATACCTAAGGAATTTACCTTATTAACCATTTAAAACTGAGACTCTGTATCCATTAAATGCTAACTCCCTCTTCCCTCCCCTATTCCCTGGTAACTGCCCACCATTCTGTCAAGGAAACTTAGATAAGTGGAATCATAGAGTATTTTTTGTGTGTCTGGGTTATTTTACTTAGCGTACTACCCCAGTGTCCATCTTTGTTGATCAGTGTATCAGAACATCCTTTTTGTGGCTGGATAATATTTCATGGTATGTATATACTGCATTTTGCTTTTCCGTGCATCTGCCAATATACACTTAGCTTACTTCCACATTCTAGCTATTACAAATAAGGCTACTATGAATTCAAGTGTACAAACAACTCTTTAAGACCCTGCTTACAGTTTTCTTTGTCATATATCCAGAAATGGAACTGCTGCATCATCTTTTGGCTCTTTCTTGTAGTTCTTGATTCTTCCCTGTGCTTGGCATGGCCTCTAGTCTCTGCTTTTATGTTATGGCCTTTTTCTGATTGGAATTTTTGGTGCCAACTTTGTTCTTGTTTTTTTTCTTTTTCCATTTATACTGCACATTCTCAGAGATTTCTCTGTAGGACTTACACCTCGATTCTTTGGAATTCCTGCCCTAGTCTCAGGTGACTTGACAACTACAACAGGAAGTGGGTGTATCTACTTAAAACACCACTGTTCCAGCTGAGCTCAGTTTCTCATGAGACCACCTCACTTCCATCCTTCATGCCCCATGGTTCTCAGCCCAAAAGCTTGAAACCTTTGAATAGTTTCCCACCTCTTTTGGTCCTTATATGTACAGATACGGTTAGTGTCTTCCTTTGTCCAAGTCCAGTCTGCCTCTAACTGCTGTATCTTTTTAGTTGTGCAAGTTTCTCCTTATTTGAGGACTTAACTTTTCTAAGATTATTTTCTTCTTTCCTATGACTGTTTTGATCTAGTTCATTTATAATAGCTAGTAATACTATGTACCAGGCATTGTCCATGTATTAATTCATTTAATCGTCACACTGGACTTGATTCACCAATGAGGCACAGTGAGAAAATGCTGGACACCTGCTGAGTGTGGAGCTGGGTTCCCAGAGTCAGTTTTCATCCTTGAGTGGCTCTGTGGGATCCCTGCTTGGATTCCTAGTTGAGGACCCTGTTTGATGGCCCTTGCTGCCCTTTGTATTGCATTCCCAGTTAGAGAATCTTTCCTAGCACCCATTCTGGCCGGACCATCTCCAGTGACCATTCCATTTGGCCAGATCTCTGGGGCCCATGATGCACCTTTTCCTCCTTCTCCGCCTTTGTACAAACTGCTCTTCCTTGTCTTGGCCAGTCTGTCTCTTTGCCTTCCTTCCAGAATGCTTTGGGCTTGTCCTGAGCTGGCACTCACTGCAGCAGCATGTGGCATTGCCAAGGTCTGTCATGTGGCCACAGCAGTAACTGGTATAGAGCTGCCCAGCAGTATTTGCCACTAGTGTTTTTCTAGTGTATTTTATGTTTGTTTGTTTGTTTCTTGGAAATTAGTAGGGCCTTGAGCTGCCTTCTACTTTTCCACTCTGACCAACTGTTAAATTAACTGTTGCCTCAAGAAATTCTCCAGAAGTCTGCAAGTGGGTTGTTTTTGTGAGCTAGGTGTCAGACAGGCGTGACGTAAGTGGTGGTGATGGTTCACATTCTCTGCATTTGTGTCCATTTTCATATTTGTTACTGAGGTTGGAAAGGATGGGAATAAATCCAAGAGGCAATATCTCTTTAACTTGTAAGCTTAGAGGTCACTTTCTACTGTGTTGGGGACAAGGTGACAGAAGAATGTAATAAGTGTGTGTTGTGTTTCTTAGTGTTCAGGAATTCATGACCTTCACAAGTCAACTGATTGTGGAGCGCTCGGCAAAAGGCAGCAGAGCTTCTGTCAAACAGCAAGGTAAGAGGCTCTGCAGGTCCAGGTGTGTGCTGTCTGGTGTCCATGCCACAGTAGCACATGCCAGCCGTGTGACATGGACCCTACCCTCTGCTAGCTCGTTCTCCTCCCTCCTCCTCCTTTTCCTGTTTGTGCAGAATTCTGTGCCCTCTGTTGAATTCTAAGCTTCCTGGGTACAATTTCCTCCCAAGTTTGGACTCACTTCAGATGAGGGTCTGACTCACTCAGATCAATAAGCAGCTTTCATACCCCCAAAGCCCTAGAAAAGCCTTCCAGCCAGGTGACACTGCATTCTGTGCCCCTTTGATTTTTTAACCAGAGATCTGAAAATTCACTGTTTTTTCTTCTTCCCTAAGTCAAATTTTGTGTTACAGCTTGTAAGCATTTATTTTAGACTTGTAAATTACACAGATTAGGAAAGAGTTACATGAATTTCAGGCAAAAACAGAGACCACCTCACATGTGGGCTGACCTCATGTCACTTAATGTGGAGTTACTAAATCGCTGGCAGAGGGTCAGTTACATGGCAGCCAGTATCGAACATTACGCCATGTGGGGTCCTTGTGCTGCGAGTATCACAGAGGTAAAACTGAATTGGGAACATTTCTGTGTTCTCTGTCACTTCCTCTCAGACTGTAGGATGTGTGCGCTTCAACCCTGTGTTTGAATTTTGCTTACTTGGGAAGGTGCAGAAAATATAGAGAGCACACAATAATTCTCCATCCTCTGTTCATCTGTTCTTATCAATCCCTGCCCCTGTCTGACTTTAGGGGCTCACTGACTTTCCTGCCTGTTTTGTTTATCTGTTGTTGAGCACCGAGTCTTCTGGGCCAGATCCATAAGGATAAGAAGGTTCACATTCACACACTGTAGTCCTTATGTTTTTCTTAATCTGTCATCCCCGCGTCCTTTCCAGATGTCGATGCTCAGCAGTCCTGGAGAGTGACTGTTTTACAGAAGGCCCTGTACAAAGCACACTTACTGTGATACTGGCGATTGAACCCAGGGCTTTTGCACTCAGCTGCGTCCTCAGCCCTTGTTTTATTTCTTAAAATTTTGAGACAGAGTCTTGCTAAGTTGTCCAAGTTGGGCTTGAACTTGCATTCCTGCCTCAGCCTCCCGAAATGCTGGGATTAGAAGCATGTGCCAGCACACCTGGCTAAACCATACCTCTGGATCACGATGGTATCAGTGCAGTGATGATGGAGACTTCAGCCAGCAGTTATGAATTTTCTCCAGACGGCTCCACCCAGCAGCTAGAGCAAGCTGAGCAGTGTTGCCATGGCTCAAGAGACTGAAGCCCAGGGAGGTCATTTTCTGCCTCCAGGCAACTCTGAAAGGCTTTGGTTTTTGTTTTTAGTAGAGGATGCTTGTCTGGGGTTCCCTCAGTTTGGGAGCAACACAGAGCCCCAGAGGGCTGTGAATCATCAAGATGCAGTCAGGCCTGACCTGGACATGCACCTGGGTGTTTCCCCACCTTGATTTCTCTTTCCGACTTTGGCTGCGTACACCAGGCCTGGGCATTGCTGGTCCTAAGCAGTTGGCTGAGCACCAAGTGTGGCACAGGGAGCTGCACCGTGGCCTGTCCCACACCCCGCCCAGAACTGTGGAGCTTCAGCAGGCTTGGTTTGACCCACAGAGCAGGGCCCAGCTTTGTGATGCCTTGGCGTGGGGGATTAAAAGCTGTCTGAAGCCCTCATGTTGGCCTCTTGTCTCCGTAGAGTATCTGTGCCATGTCTACGTCAGGAACGATGCTCTTGCGGGTGTGGTCATTGCGGACAGCGAATATCCATCCCGGGTGGCCTTTTCCTTGCTGGAGAAGGTGGGTGTGAGGTTTGGCTGCACTGGCCGAGGATGGCGAGGGCAGACATCGTGGACAGTGCCAAGCGCAAGGATGACTGCTCCAAGTCCTCTGCCCTGCACTTATCCAGAGACGGTCGGGCTCCCTCCTCAGGCTCCCTGTCTGTGCCGACTCTGCCCTGTCTCCCGGTGGCCAGCCGCTGGGCTGCAGCACCTCCCCTCTACACAGGCCCTGTTGTGCCTTGAGTTCACAAGGTGTTGCCCTCCTGGCCTCCTTCCCAGGGTTCCTCACTCTTTGTGTTGCTCCTGCAGTCACTGCAGCTCTCTCCCTAGTATTGCTCATGGAGCTTAGCACCTGAGCATACTTTATTTGTTTGGTTTTTCCCAGCACTGGGGATTGAACTCCAGGGCTTTTGCACTGAGCTTCCTCCCTGGCTCCTTTTTTATTTTTATTTTATTTTATTTTTTTGGTTCAGGAAATCAAACTCAGGATCTCATGCTTGCCAAGCAGGCTCTGTGCCACTGAGCTAATAAATCCCCAGCCCTCTTTTTTTTTTTTATGTTTTGAGACAGGGTCTCACTAAGTCGCTAAATTGCCCGGACTGGGCTTGAACTTGTGATCTCCTGTCTCAACTTCCTAGAGTGCTGGGATTGTAGATGTGTACCACTACACCCATACTTTAATTTCTTTGTGTGGTGCTCATTATACATGTGAAGACAGAAGCCTCATCTTATCCCCCACAGCACTAAGACACTTATTTCCAGGCACATGAAATCAGTGGTTGCTTAAATCCTAAGTACCTAGGCTCCCCTTTCTGAAAAATTACTTTGGAAAAATACAAGACCAGTACCATTTTCCTGGGAAGTCTGTCATTCGATTTATTTATTTATTTATTTTTGGTACCAGGGATTGAACTCGGTCCTTGGGCTTGTGAGGCAGGCAGCAGAACCACTGAGCTAAATCCCCAGCAGAAAATGTCATTTAAAATGCAAATACCTTTATCGTTCCTCAGGTGAAGTTCATTCCAGCCTGGGCATGCTTCACTTTTGCTTCCTACATACTTAGGGTATATTTTAATGACAAGGGACCTTTGGGAAGAGGAGCTGTATACCTGACTCTCCCTTTGCCATTGGCTTTTTCTTGGGCTCTCGGTATTCAGGGAGACTCACTTGGGGTCAGGGGCACAGGGGGAACCCGCTGGGTGCTGGGGAGCACAGGTTGGGGGCTACTGGGGACTCCATTGTTTTACAGGTCCTAGATGAATTTTCCCAGAAGGTCGACAGGATAGATTGGCCTGTAGGATCGCCTGCCACTATCCATTACTCGGCCCTGGAGGATCACCTCAGTAGATACCAGGTAGGTTTGAAAACTGCAGGATGGAGCTATGTGGACCTGGGAAGGCCCACACTGGACAAGTTGGGTCTGGTGACCTAGTCTCTCAAGCCTTCCGCTGAAAAACAGGACCTGCTTCCGGCTGAGCCCAGCGCCAGGCAGGCAGGAGAGTTCCCTAGTGTTGAAACAAGACCCTCAGATGCTGGTCCAGTCCCTCGTTTGAGTTTGTTTCCAGGTGGCTGCTTCAGTCCTGACTGTTCTTTTGGCTCTTTCTAGAACCCCCGAGAAGCTGACCCCATGAGTAAAGTGCAAGCTGAGCTAGACGAGACCAAGATCATTCTGGTGAGTGGGAAGGTGGAGAGTGGGACAAGAACTGAGGGGCAGGTGGATGTGCCTGTGGCTGAGTCCCCGCCAGCTAGTGCCCCTGGCGGGGACCAGGCTGGGAACTGGCTCCTCACTGTCAAGTAGTCACGAGGCCCCGAGGTTGGCCTTGAGGTTGGCTCGCAAGGCTACCTTGCCAGTGTGGTGCCTTGAGAGCCACTCTCAGCCCTGCAGTGTCTGGGTCAGAGGAGGCAGACGGAAGCACTGCACTCACAGGCAGCTGGATTCCATAGCACAGGCCTATTTTCAGTTGAGCTGGAGCTTGCTTTTATGTGTGTGTGCTGGGAACTGAACCTAGGGCTTTTGCACTGAGCTGCTTCCATATCTCTTCACCCTTTTAATTTTGAGACAAGATCTTACTAAGTCACTAAGTTGGCCAGGCTGGGCTCAAACTTGTGATTTTCCTGCCTCAGTCTCCCAGAGTGCTGGGGAGAACCTGTGTTTTTATGTGAAATTTGATTTGGAATGGCTGCCTTACCTTTTTCCTTTTCTTTTGTTTTTCCCCCTTTTGCCTTTCAATTCTGGTTTTGCGGCCTTTGCACCTGGCTCCTTCTTTCCCATTGTCCACAAATCATGAGCCATCAACTTGTTACCCTTCTAGAAGTCTTCAGCAGTCCCTGCCTCCCTAGATAAAGTGCACCCCCCTCAGTCTTGCATACCCTTTGCCACACAGCTTGTGTACAGTGCCCTGCTCAGGCCTTTCTGCGGGTCACTGTGCTGTCACTGTACCGTCACTACGTGTCTGTGTAGCTCCCTGGCCAGCGTGTGGTGCCCAGAGTCTTCCTGAGCCGCTCCCTGTGCCATGTCTACTCTATCACTTCATCTCCTGGGCTGGCACCTCCTCTGTGGGACCTGGAGTCTGTATTTTAGAAACAGCAGCCAAAGCCATGGCGGTGGCTTTCTGAACCTCATGCTGAGGACTGCAGCCTTGGGCATCTCTGTCTTCCATAACCCATTGGGCTTTTCTTACTGCTGAGGTCGAGTCTGCAGGTTTCCCACTCAGCTGCCGTCGAAAAAGGACACTTTTCCACTGGAGAGCAGATGAGCCATGTCCATCAGCACCACTGTAGCTGCCATTGTAAAATCTGGATTGGTTTCTAGAGTTTAATCCAGCTGACTTTGTGTTCAGTTGATTTTTCACTAGTGCATCATAACTGTACAGAGTATGGGCTTTACTGTGGTGTCTTGCTGCACTTTTGACACGCACTTGGGTCCTGCCTTCCTCCCCGACTCCCCCCGGCCTTTACTTTGGCCCCCAGTTGCATAGCTGTGTGCAGGGGTAAAGTACACCCTGCTGAGGCTTCATCTCCTTCTGGCGTGGTCTAGGGAGGGAAGGGGCCACTGGCTTCTCTGAGGCCCTCCATCCTGTGCCCTTCTGGTAGGGCTTCCCAAGTGCAGTGCTGTGCTTTCAATTAGGGAAGCAGGGCCTGTCCCACAGCAGTGCCACCTAGTGGGAATGTGACTTGCTGTATGTGCCCATCCTGTTGTTCTGGATTGGAGCCATATTTTAAAATGACAAAGGAGTTAAAATTTATTTTGATATAAGTTCAACCAGTCATGCCCAAATGTAATCAACTTTAAAAGTCACTAGTGAGTATCTGTATGAGATCCGGTGTTTGTACCTTTTTGCAGTATGTACTAAAGATTGAATCCAGTTCCTTTTCTGGAGCCCTAGCCACTCCCTCCACCCCACCTTCACTCTCAGTCTCTCTCTCTCTCTTTGATTCTTTCTTTTTTTTTTTTTGATACCACATTCTGAATGGGAGTTACCCACTCTGGTAGCATTAATGGAGGTGAGGATACCACATAACACTGGGGGCATGTGGGGGCACTGTGACAGGCAGTGCTCCTCAAGGCTGTGAATCTCCTGTGTCTCTGGCCCTCTGGCTCTGGGTGGACATGAACTTCCAGAGGTCACTGTGCAGCCCAGCCCAGCCCAGCCATAGTGCCCAGCTCTGGTTTCCTCCTGTGGACCCCAACTGCACGTGTGTGTGCGTACACGCACACACACACACACACACACACAGCATGCATGTGCCAAGGAGTACCGTGTAAATGTGAATATGCACGACCTTTTCCAGATGGGCTCATCTGAGTCTGCAGGGGACAGTTTCCAGGGGTCTTCTCTGTGTCCCTGTGGGAATACTGCCAGGTCCTGCCGCTCTTGGCCCAGTCCTTAGCTGAGAGGTGGTATCTGTGTTAGAGGGGAGGCTAGGAGAGGGGCGTTCCTGGCCCCTGAGCCTCCACGAGGAGCTCTGGACAGCAGTCACTTGTCCTTCTGTCTTTTGTCCAGCACAACACCATGGAGTCTCTGCTGGAGCGAGGTGAGAAGCTTGATGACTTGGTGTCCAAATCGGAAGTCCTGGGAACGCAGTCGAAAGCCTTCTATAAAACTGTGAGTAGCTGTGGCCCAGCCCTCCAGGGCATCCCTTCCCTCTAGCTGGTCCCCTTAGTTTATTTTATTTCATCAAGGTAGATTGGGGTTCCACTCCTGGGAGCAAGGGAGCCCAAGGCAAGTGCCCCCCAGCCCACCCCACCCCAGGATTAGTTCACATCCACTGAGGTACCATCTGCCCTGTGGCCACCATTGCCCCAATTCACGCTGTTTCCGGTCTGAGCACAGGCATTTGTCCCCACTCCTCTGCTGGCTGAGCAGTTAGTCCTGTGTCTAAAATTCCAGCAGTACACCTTCCTGAGGAGCCTCCTCATCCGAGGGTCTGGATGGCTTCTACTTGGCTGCACCTTCTCTAATGGGCTCTTGGCCTGTGTTCAGGTGGCAGTGGAGACAGATACCCCATTCTGCCCACACTGTGTGCCTCTTGGAGGGACAGAGCCTGGTGGGGTCACTAGAGGGCGGAACAGCTGCACCTGCAGATGTGAGCAGGGACCTTGGCTGTTCTCTGGGAGAGCGGCCTCCAGGGTAGGCAGGAGACAGGAGTGGGGGCGCTAAGGTAGCCAGCCAGTCCAGTTTGCATTCTGAACGGGAGTTACCCACTGCTGGTAGTATTAATGGGGGTGAGGATCCCACATAGTGTTTGGGGCATGTGGGGGCACTGTTACAGGTAGCCCCCTGAGTCCATGAGTCTCCTGTGTCTCTGGCCCTCCATCTGGTTCTGGCTTCTCTGTCCGTCTGTCTGTCCCCCTTGCTGGCTGCCACACCTGATGCCTGCTGAAGATGTAACCTGGCCACCTCAGCCCCTTCAGCTCATCTTTGTTTCTTTCAAGGCCCGGAAACAAAACTCGTGCTGTGCAGTCATGTGACGTAGCCCGTGGAGGCCGAACCATCACCCTCACTTGCATCAGAACTGCAGCTGCTGGAGAAGATGCCCTAAGAGGACCTGGGGCTGAGAAGACTGGTCATTTTTACACTAAGTTCCCAGGAGGAACTGAGGGATGGTGGAAGGGTGGGGAACATCCAAATTCATGTCTGTTGTGAATTTTGCAAAGAATTTGAGGCCCCCCCAAAGGTGTATTTTTGGGAAAATGAAGCTATAAACTCTGAGCGGCTCCTGTAGATGCTGAAGGGCACACTCCTGCCTCCTGCAGGCTCCTGAGGCCAGTTCGGAGCTGGCGCTGGCATTACCAGCAGAGAGCTTTGGGTTTCATCTGTGCACTAAATGGTACTAACTCCAGGAAGGGGGATGAACGGAGTCTGGCTGGGCAGATGCAGGGGTGGGGTGAGCCTGCTTGTGGGCCTGTGGTTCCCGCTCAGGCCTGTAGGGGGCACTGGTAACTGTCACTTCACATTCTGTTCCCTTGTGTGCTCTGTCTCTCTGGGATTGGCTTCATGAGGGCAGGGCCCATCCTGGCTGCCTTCTACCCCTGCTCCAAAGGGTTTGGAAGGAGCTTAGATGGGCATGTTAGCAGGCTGGGGACAGGTCCAGGGAAGGGGCAGGTCTGGATATCAGGCTGGCAGGTGGGAGTGTTGGCCTCTAAGGAAGATCCAGACACAGGTGCCTGCAGCTGCCTAGGATGAAGCACACCTGTTGTGATCCGCCACAACCAGGGTGATTGGTTATCAGCATCAGGGCTGATTTGTGTTCCTCTGGTGGGGCATCCGCCTGGAGCATCCACCTGGAAGCTACATGTGGTCAGGTCTCCAGTGGGTGTCTGGAGGAGGTGCCAAGCCCGAAGACTGAGCACCATCACCCACCTGGGCCTGGTCTGAGCTGCCACCCCCACAGCCGCCTTAGCCCCAGTGCCCAGCCCTTAACCTTGTGTGGAGGGGCTGGGTCCCAACCACCTCTTCACGCCTTATTGGACCCAAGGTGCCCCACAGTGTCTTCCCTGGGGAGGCCACTATGGGGTGCTATGACCCCATCTCCTGAGCCTGCCCTGCTTCCCAAGAGCTCCCTTGAGGGCAGGTGCAGGTAGGAACGGGGTCACCCCACCCCCTGGGTCGGTTACCTGCCACTGCCCCTTTTCTCTGGGGTTGTGGTGCCAGAGGGCTCCAGCCTCCCCAGGACTGACCTGCCTTCCCTTTCCCACTGCCAAATGTCGATACCTGAGCTGGAGTGAGGGGCACTGGGGAGACAAGGTGGGGTGAGCGTCGGGGAGAGGAGGGGAGATGGTCAGCGTTTCCTTGCTGCCTGTTCTATTCCAGTGTCAGATCATTTGGCAAGAGTGTACTTCAGTAACCACTGCCTAACTTCCCTGTGTCCTGTGTGCAAGGTTCCTGTCTGGATAAAGTTCTTCTGAGATTTCCAAAGTGGTCCTATGCTATGTTTGTCCTAGGGGCAGGGGGCGTGTGCTGCAGGGCCTGGATCTGTCCCCACCCCTCTGCTATTAACCAAATGAGCAGAGGTGTAATGTGCTCTGAGTCTGGTTCTCTGGTCTTGGTGCACCTTGGGAAGCTGCTTCAGCTAGAGCCAGGAAGGAGGCCCTGATTCTGCCCAGGTTTTCTGTCCCTCCCTGGGGCTCGGAACACCTAGCCTCTCCAGGCTAGGTGGGACTTCTGTGAGGCACGTGTGCAGAGCTGATCTCTGCAAGGAATCTGGTCTTGAGGCGGGGAGCAGCTTCCACAGCTGGGTGGTAGAGGCCAAGGCCACTGCAGCCCCATGGTGCCCAGCAGGCTTACAGGCTGTACTTTTGATCCTTGTGGCCAGAGACCCCCTCTGCCAGGCTCCATGTGATGGAGCTCCTCATGGAGCTTAGGGTAACCTGAGCTGCCTTGGGGGTGACAGGGGGCTCAGAGAGCTATGCCTAGAGTAGGTGCAGTTTAAGAGCTGAATGAAATACCCTCCTTGGTGCCCAGTGCTCGGCCTACAGGGTGGTGTCCCTGTGTTGTCCCGAGCCCAGAGGAACCTCAGGAATAATGCATGTTGGAGGCTCAGGCTCCATCGCCACATCCTTCCTGAGGGAGGCCTGTCCTGGAAAAGTCTCAGATTACAGCTGATAGGTGAACTGAGCCCTAGATCTGGTGCCTGTCGCATTGGGGTACTGACCTAGATTCCTTGCCCTGGTCCTTGGGATCTGCCATGTACCTAAGGGCACGTGCTCAGGCATGCCTCCTGGAGCCTGAGAAGCTGGCACCAGGGGCTTCCTCACTGGGCCACGGTATCTGTGAACAGATGCTCAGGGTGAAGGAGACAGCCAAGACCTTTGGCCAGTTCTGGGGGGTTCCTCAGGACCCCGGCTCCTGGTGGATGAAACTAATGCAGGGGCGTCCACCTTACCAGAAGTGACCTGGACCTCAGGCAGGTGTGGCTGCTCGAAGCCATACTTCTCTACTGGGACAGCATGAGGCATAAGAACAGTGTGGGGGTGATACAGGGGTGCAGGGCGTGGGGTTCACCACTCTTGATAGGCAGACATGGAAGCCAGTAGGTCCCACATGTCTTGGAGGAAGGCATCGAGTCTGCAGAAGGACCCAAGGGGCTTGGGCAGCACAGGCAGGGGAACTTTTCTGAGGAAAGCTTTGTGCCTAGGTGGCAGGGCACAGTGGGCATCTGGGCAGGGCCTAAGGATATGACAGGCCTAATTGAGGTGGCTGTGAAAGAATTGTGTCCCATTCATAGGCTGGAGATACAGCGGGAAGCCTGGGGAGAAGCCTTTCTCCTTTCCCAGTAGCCGGCTATGCTGACCCCAGCTCCTGATGTCCTTCTGGCCCCACCCCAAACTCTAGTCCAAGGTCCAAGCTTGGGACCTGTGTGAATCCTCTTAACTTACATAGGGGGTGGTGACCCTCTGGGGTCCTGGTCCTGAGACTCCTTCCCACCCATAGGCCGGTCCTCCTGGATCACTTACTGGCCTGTGGATGACTGCAGAGATCGCAGTATTGGAGCTGGAGGCTAAGTTCTGGTTCCAGCATGCCAGATGGACAGTGCAGGGCCCAGAGGACTTCAGAGGACCAGACAGAGGGGTGGGGACAGCAGGTGGGCCATGACCTACCCGCCACCGGAGAGGGAATGAGCCCCATATTCTTTACCCACCATGGGGGAGCCAGAGGGTCTGTGTTTTGGGGCTGGGCATTGGCAGGGCCCCAGCAGAAAGCATCCGGCTGCACTTTAAGCAGTTTATCCTGTTTTTCTTTTATTTGCAGTTTCCCGAGACAGAACAAAATAAGAATAATTTTTGTACACCTACAAGGCTCAGAAAGAAAAGACAATGAAACTCAGCAAAAAGAGAAGAGGGAGGGCCGCCAGCACCGGGGGCCGTGACGCCCTGCAGCACTGGCCAGCGGCGACACCACCTGCGAACACCTAGCTAGCAGAGCAGGCAAGGCCTGCTCTTTGGAAAGGGTCATGCAAAAGAATTATCCCCCAGAAAAAAATCCCGAATGATCCCAGACAGGCAGCTCCATGGAGATAACGAGGGGGTGGGGAGGGAGAAGGCCCCAAGACACCAGGGTGGTCGGCTGGCTGCGGGGCCACAGTGCTGTCTGGTCAGCCTGCCTCGGTCCGTGGCCTGGAGCCCGCTGCTCAGAGCCTGGCAGATGTTTACCGTGTCCTTGGGTGGAGACAGCTGTCCTGGACACAGTGTGGACAGAAGGTGGCACCCACTTGAGTGTCCGTGTGGACAGTCCCCTTGGAGTTTGGAATCCTGTGTCCTGTTCCCCACTCTGTGCCCCTCCCTGCCTTGATTTGTGGGGGAAGATAAAGAAAATCCTTGTTGAAAACGACATGAATTGAAGGTAGGCAGCACTGGGTGGAGACCCTTGAGCTTGTCAAGGCTCCTGACCGTCCTTGCTGCTGCCCTCAGACTGTCCCCAGCTTCACTGTGGTGCCTCCCATCATGAAGGGCCGGGGCCACCACCATCCTGCGGGCAGCACACTGTCCCACAGACCTGCCCTCCACCTGCCGGTGCTCCTGTCCCCAGGCCTCCTCCATACCCAGGCTGGCTCCCACCCCTGCTTCTGCTCTAGGCCCAGTTCACAAAAGTGCTTCCACTTCAGCAACCACTGGCCCAGAGCCGGAAGCCAGCAGCCCCCACCTTCCCCATCTTTGCCACTTGCTGTATCAGCCAAGCCCCAAGCCTGCTCCTGAGTCCGTCTTGTGGGGCCTGCTCCTGGCTGCATAGGGACAGCCACTGACTGCTGCTGGCCAGCAGGGAGGGGACAGGTGCCCCAAGCAGGAGGGGGCCAGCCCCGGCTGAGTCTGTCTCCATGGCAGGGCAGCCAGAGTTGCAGTTAATGCATTATCTTAGGTAAGTTGTGCCCGTCCACACCTCTGTCCCAAGGACCAGCACTGCGACCTGGGGCCCCCAGGACTCATCAGCTGGCACAGGACCCACAGGACAGCCGTCTCCTGCACACTCCGTCCGTACTGGGTGGTGGGTCCGAGGCTCCGGAAGCCCACACCAGCCCTTCTTGGGGTGGGGGAGAAGCAGGGGCAGGAGCAGCCAGCGGCCCGCAGCCCTCCCAGGACACCTGATGTCACAACAGCTAGGCGAGCACACGCAGGGGCCATGCGCGGGCAGGAGGATGCAGATGCCCGGGGCGCAGGGTGAGTGATACCTACAGACTAACACCGTTCGGCACACGTTCACGCCCGGAGGGTCCCCACGGCCAGGAGCACAAGAGACACTTGGAGCTTGGGTGGGGGGCTGCCCCACCAATGCCAGATTTTTACAGCTTTTTCCTTTTAGGGTGTTTTCTTCCATTTCATCCGATGTCAATTTTTTTTGTGTGTGTGTGTATGTGTGTGTGGTTGTCGTTGTCTTCATCTTTTTTTTTTTTTTTTAAACAAATCACATCTGGTCTTGTTTTTCTGCAGACACAGGCACCGGGGGATGGGGACCAGGCGACACAAACATGCGACAGGCAGGCCGAGGCCGAGGCGGCCGGGCTGCAGACACCGACTCTGTCCGGCGAGACCAGGGCCGCTCTGAAACAGCAGACACGCTCCTCAGCACCTCCACACAACACACCCAGCGTGGCCCAGCGCAGCGCCCTACCGGCCCACGTCCCATGGGCCTTCCCACCCCTCCACCCTGCTCACCTCACTGCAGCGGGGCCACGGGCGCGCCCGAGCAGTGGAAGTGCACGTTCTGCCACTTGCCCTCCCGGCGGTGCCACACGCGCGTCTCCTCGGACTGGCTGGTGCGGGGCCGGCCCTGGCCGTCGATGTACTGCGTGAGGCGGATGTAGGCGATGCAGGCTGCGTCCTCACCGATGACGTGCACGTGGGGG